TGGGGAGGAATAACCCCATGCATCAGTACAGGTTGGGGGCTGACCTGCTGGAGAGCAGCTCTGTGGAAAGGGACCTGGGAGTCCTGGTGGACAACAGGATGACCATGAGTGAGCAATGTGCCCTGGTGGCCAAGAAGGCGAATGGCATCCTGGGGTGCATCAAGAAGAGTGTGGCCAGCAGGTCAACGGAAGTTATCCTCCCCCTCTACTCTGCCCTGGTGAGGCTGCATCTGGAGTACCGTGTCCTGTTCTGAGCTCTCCAGTTCAAGAAAGACAGGGATCTGCTGGAGAGGGTCCAGCAAAGGGCTATGAAGATGAGGAACTTGTGTCTTTTTAGTCTAGAGAAAAGAAGATTGAGGGGGGATCTTATTAATGCTTACAAATAGTTAAAGGGAGGGTGCCAGGTGGATGGGAACAGTCTTTTTCTCAGTGGTGCCCAGTGATAGGACAAGAGGTAACGGGCACAAACTTGAACATAGTTCAAGTTCCATCTTAACATGAGGAGGAACTTCTTTGCTTTGAGGGTAGGAGACCACTGGAACAGGCTGCTGAGAGAGGTTGTGGAGTCTCCCATTCCGGAGACATTCAAAACCTGCCTGGACACCGTCCTGTGCAACTTGCTCTCGGTGACCCTGCTCTGGCAGGGGGGTTGGACTAGATGATCTCCAGAGGTCCCTTCCAACCCTGACCATTCTGTGAATTACTGTTTTAAATGTGCTACTATTGTTATTGTGTTAAGTCAGTTCACTTATGCCTTCTAAGCCATCTTTTTGTTGATTTCAAGACCGATAAATTAAGCAAATTTCAACTGGCATACAAAGTAATTTTGCTGTTCACTAATTAAGAAAATATTATTTTTACCTTTCTGTAAAGCAGTTATTATCTTTGACATCAGATAGCACTGTTTGTGGCGGGTGGTGTGTTGTGGCATGGCAGCTCATGTGTTCTTTTAATTCATTACGCTTCTTTACTGAAAGGGTAATTTCTCTGCCCTCTGCTTTATTGCTTCCTCTTACACTAATACTGTCTTCTGAGTAATGGAAACTTTTTGGTTTCTGATAATATGTCTCTTTTCTTGTTTTATGTAGGCTTTGATGACAGGTAGCATACCTGGTTTCATTGATGTTGTTGTGAACCTCAATTCTCCAGCTCTGTTGGATGACAATCTGATATGGCAGGCAAAAACAGCTGGGAAAAGAATAATCTTTTACGGTGATGATACATGGGTTAAATTGTTTCCAAAGCATTTTGTGGAATATGATGGAACAACATCCTTTTTTGTGTCAGATTTTATAGAGGTGAGAGGCTTTGTGTAACCCCAAACACATAGTGGCACCTTCTAAGGATGAAGGAGTAAAACTGTCCTTGTTCTGGCAATTAAATAGAAATCGGATTTATATGTGTTTTCAGTATTGGCAATGTGGATCTAAGCATTTCAGTTCCTCATGCATATGCTCTGGGAATTGTTTGGATGATACAGTAACAAAGTGTTGTACTGTGTAACTTTCCTAAACATGATATTCTCACAAAACTTGTGGTAAGAAGTTAGACTACTTTCTTTAAAAATTCCACTGTCCATGTTTCTAGTTTGCTATCACATTTATATTGGTATGTGCCATCTTGAAAAGGCCCATTAATATGTAATCTTCGTCTCTTAGAGGCATACTTTCTATGGTGTTGTATCACTTTGGTAGTTGCAATATTAGTAGTGTTTCAGTATGTTATCAAAGAAGGAGCATAGAAAGGAAATAAATTCTGAAAATTCTGCACAAATTATTCTGGGCACACTAAAAGAGTAAATGATTTGGCAATTTTAGTTCATATTTTTAACCTTTATGATTTGTAAAACCATTGCCATTGACCTGCTGCTACTGACATAAGTATTTCATTATCGTCTTTAAGGAAGTTAGATAGGTCTAATGTGTATTGGAAGACACTTTTAATTTGTCACTCTAATAAGACTTGCAGAAACTTCAACATAGAGTGGAAAAATGCAAACATGCTGCTGGGTCTGTGATTATATGGCTCTTGAGCTCTTTATGCAGTCTTTATGCTTTCTGAATACAGTCCATTAAACACAAAGCTTTTTATAGTTTTTTAGGCAGTTATATCCAGAGTCAACAAAGCGGTGTGGCATGTGAAATTTTGTAAGGTTTTTTAATATCCAAGGAGAAATGTATGCAACTAATACAGGTTGTCATCCTAAGCAGGAGAACATGTGAATTAGGCCCCAAATAGTACTTTTCAAGTAATTTTTCTTTCTTGCGATGTCATCAGTTCTCTTTCTCACAGCAAGAACAATCTTTTTGTGTTTGCACAGTAACAAAAATTGAGTTGACATAGCGTGAGTGGGGTTTTTTCTGCTGTGCTTCCAAGCACCAAAGAGAGGCTTTTCCCTGTACCTACTTCTTGTGAAATGATAAATCAGGATTGTAAAGGATGAAAGTGACTGAAAATTTCTTGAAACAGTTTTTTAAAGTATCTGTGGAAGCATGGCAACCATTTTTTCTGTGTTTGTATGTAATCTGATGCCTCGTAACCAGGAAGAAGTGAAATGGGGTGAAGAATCTGTTTTGTAAGAAAATATTTTTTGACTGCCTGGCATTGAACTAATCAATCTTTTTTTTTTCTTTTTTTTTTTTTGTGTTAACATTATGAATGACTGTAATTCTCATCAGCTTTTACAGAATTTTCATGGGTACTGCAGTCTATTTTTTCTATGCTTTTTACAAGATGGAAATTATTTTTACCTTTTAATTGTTTTACTTTTATTTCTAAGGTTGATGATAATGTTACCAGGCATTTGGATAGAGTGTTGAAGAGAGATGACTGGGATCTCCTAATACTACATTACCTAGGGTTGGACCATATTGGACATGTGACTGGGCCAAACAGCCCATTAGTGGGACCAAAACTTCGTGAAATGGATAATATAGTGAAGAAGATTCATATTTCTCTTCTCTCAAAGGTAACATAGCTCCTTCTTGGATCTATGTCTGTTAGTTGTGGACTAACTTTAAAATGCTTACTTGTTTGAGGGTGGTAGCTTGTTTATTCCTAGACCAAAGCAGGTATTCTTCTGTTCTTTTCCTTCCCTGTCCATTCCACAGTTAACAGCATAGTGTAGCATTTTTAAGGATTTACTGGCTGACCTTAGTAAGGTCTGTTAACAGTCTTTTCTGAACAGCTGTGGGAAATAATTCCCCACTGGTGTGCGGGAAGAGCACAGGAATGCATGCCAAAATTCTCTCATCACTCATGAATTAAAATGGTGGTTGGTGTGCTTCCTAGTAATGAAATACAGCAGAAAGAATAATGGACTTGTATAGCTAATGGCTCTAATTTCTGCAATTGTGAAGGCATACCTAGTTCTTAGATGTTGAGAAGATTCAGATGGAAATGGTGGTTGTAAACAGCATTTTTCTTATGCTAAATGTAGCACATAAATTACCAAATCTGAATCTGTTTTTAGATTTGGAAATGTAGGATGTCACTTATCTAAATAGTCTGGATGTTGAAATACAAACCCTAATTCCAAGTGGCCTGAAGCTTTTCTCTTATTTGTTTTTGGCAACTGCAATTCAGAATAGCTGCTCATAAAATTTTAATAGTATTTTGAGACAAATGGATATTATTGCATGAAAAGAGAGGTTAAATCCTGCTTGTGGAAGTTATAATCCCATGAATGTTGCAGTGGTTTTGCCGCAGTTTTTAAGTATGTTTTGCTTTTGTCAACTATATGCAAGCCTTAGAAGTTTTAGAATACAGAAATAATAAAGCACTTCACTTTTGGATACAATAGGTACTGGTAATAAATAGAGATGACACAAAACTGCTTTGGTAGAGAATGACATTTATTTTCTGCCATATTTGCTAGCTCAGAATTGTTGGACAGGCCTCACTTATGTTTCTGTTTCTCTTTCTTCAGAAAAATAATCATAGAATCATAGAATGGTTTAGGTTGGAAAGGACCTTGAAGATCATCGAGTTCCAACCCCCCTGCCATAGGCAGGGACACCTCCCACTAGACCAGGTTGCCCAAGGCCATGTCAGGCCTGGCCTTGAACACCTCCAGGGATGGGGCCTCAACAACTTCTTTGGGCAACCTGTTCCAGTACCTTACAACCCTCAAAGTAGAAAATTTCTTCCTAATGTTTAATCTAAACCTGCCCTCTTCCAATTTAAAGCCATTCCCCCTCGTCCTATCGCTACCTGTCCTAGTAACAAGTCCTTCCCCAGCTCTCCTGTAAGCCCCCTTTAGGTACTGGAAGGCCACAATAAGATCTCCCCTGGAGCCTTCTCTTCTCCAGGCTGAACAACCCCAACTCTTTCAGCCTCTCCTCATAGGAGGGGTGCTCCAGCCCTTGGATCATCCTTGTGGCTCTCCTCTGGACACGCTCCAGCAGGTCCATGTCCTTCTTATGTTGGGGACTCCAGAGCTGGATGCAGTACACCAGGTGGGGTCTCACGAGAGTGGAGCAGAGGGGCAGAATCACCTCCTTTGGCCTGCTGGCCACACTTCTTTTGATGCAGCCCAGGATACGGTTGACCGCCTGGGCCGCGATCGCACAGTGCTCGACATGTTGAGCTTCTCGTCAATCAGCACGCCCAGGTCTTTCTCCTCAGGGCTGCTCTCCAGCCATTCTCCTTCCAGTCTGTATTTGTGCTCGGGATTGCCCCGACCCAGATGTAGGACCTTGCACTTGGCCTTGTTGAACTTCATGAGGTTGGCTTGGGCCCACCTCTCC